CTTACCATGCCTATTTTGTAATAATCTGTTGTATTCAACATAAAATGAGACCTCACCTAGCTAGCATTAAATATACTATTGCTAGTTTAATGGTAAGGGCATAATAAGAGATCAAGGGCCAAATCCTAAAGACCTTTGTCCTAACTTACAAATTAGCTTCATTGGGAGTTTGCCTGAATAAGAACTGCAGATTTGGACTAAAGAAATAACAGGAAACACATACATTCTTTAGAGATTTGTTCAAATGGTTTAGCAGACTGTGCAGATATACCTAAAAAGGGTTTGTGTTCTCCATCGGCTGCAGTGTGCCAAAGCAGCTTTGAAAGAACCAAATACTGACGCTTACAAACTCATTGTGGTGATGCATGGTAGTCACAGAAATGTGATAGTTTATAATGTTTTGTTAAATAACAGAATTATGTAATACTATACGTTCATGTGACAACATAATGGTCCAGAGACTTTCCAGGTGCAACTCCTACTGAAATTACACCTGGGATGAATTTGACCCAATTCATCAGATAAGAAATGTAAAGAAAATTGCTGTATTTCCATAGCTTTGTGGATGAGAGTTGTGATTTGATTTTACAACAAGAAAGGTAAATCAGAGAGAAGCATATGTATTTTCTTTCATGGGTGATAACGTTCGTTAAGTCAAGAGATGCTCTTTGTGCAGCTGGAAGGAAATGTCCTTTATAACAACCTTCTTAAGACAATCTTCATCTAGCTGAAAATTTCTAGCTCAATAAATTTTCCCTTAGCAAAAAAGTGTTGCCACGGTTCTCTCAACTTCGGTTACTGTATGTCAGTCTGATGCAGTCAGGGTCACTTTCATAATCTCAATTTGCTAGTCAGCCTCAGGACAAGATTTAATTAGGTAAGTCTCTTCTCCCTTTCTGCAAATGTTGAAAATTGAACTCTTGTGGACTTGATTTCCCGCCACCCTCATTATTCCAGTTTGAAACAGGCACCATTTCCAAGCACACCCTCATCCATCCACTTTTGCAATGACTTATTCTGTTTGAAAGGAGTCAGAATTCAAACAATAATGTTAACGTTATAAATCATAAGTTTAAATTCATTAACACCAGCAATGAACACAATTCATCCCTGATCTTCCCATTGGTCATTTTTATATAAGAATGATCCACATGCATAGAAAATCTTGTAAAGTGATGTCAAGAATTTTAGATCCAGATAATAATATACTAACTCCCATTTTTAGGCATCACTTCGATCCACAAAACTCCCCCTCAGCTGTTGCCTAACCCTGTAGGGACCTAGATTTACTTGGCATTTACATTTTTGATTCTGGGCATGTGCAATGCAGCCTCACTTTAGGGGTCTGGGCGCACATCTCCTGCCTAAGCCCCAAAGTGAATCTCTAACAGGGGAAGATAGGCACCCAAACACCTAAATCACATGTGGGTGCCTGACCCAGTAAGTATGCTCAGAGGCTGCTACCCAGATCAGGCCCCTTAGCTGAGTTCAATCCAAACAGCTGGGATTGTATGGGGGAAGACGAAGACCTCCCTTATAACCTTCAGCCTACTGGTTAGGGTACTCGCCCACCATATGAAAACTCACTGGTTCTAGTCCCCTCTCCTACTGAATGGGAAAAAGGATTTGAACAGGGATTGCTCTACCCACTGAACCATGCATGGGATTATCTGATGTGGGGCTTCTTCAGTCTCTCCTGAAGAGAGACTTCAATTGTTCCACTTTAATAATTAAATATTAATTGGGCCACTGAAAGAGAGAGAATGACTATAGGTTAGGGCATTCACCTGAAAAGGGAGTCCCCTTTCAAATTCCTTCTCATCAGGCAAAGGAGGGACTTGAAGTGGGGATGAGTATGCTAGCCACTAGACTAACAATTACAAAGGAGGTTCTCCCTTCCCAACCCCAGTTGTTTTGTGGAGTTAGGAATGCTTAAAGGCCATCTACCTAAATCCTCCCCTCCCTCCCCCGCATGAAACTGAGGCAGCTGAATGCCTATCTTCTCTCAGTTTGTGGATCACACGCAGAGAGATCAGTGTCTCCCTGCAGTTCAGACTTAGGCGCTTATCTCCATGCAAGGAGGAGGCTTAGCACACATTCCCTCTGGTTGGCATCCATCTCCTATTGGCTAGCTTAGAGCTCCCTGCCTAGTGTATTGACTTTATGTAAGTGTGATCACAAATTAAAAGTTAGAGAAACAGGAAAATGACAGCTGTCTTTCCAGATCACGTTTAAAACCAGCATAAATAAAATCACATCTGAATTCTAAACAATGTGCAGGGTTTTTTTATGTCATATTAAAGTAAATGGCCCAGTCTAGAAATTAAAAAAATATATACAAAATCCCCAAATTGAAGTAAATTTAAAAATTCCAAACCCCTAGAAACTAGCATTACGCAGTGTACAAAGAAGCCTGGAGAATCCTAAAAGACAATTGGCCCTTGGTACTATTAGTTAGGTAAATGGATATTATCGTAAAGTGTACAGAGAGGCATATTATTGTACATGCCACTTTATGATAATCCATAATCTTTAGTCAGAAAAACTCATAGTGAAAGCCATGGTTGGAAGCTGATGCTAGACAAATTCAGATTAGAACTATGATGTAAATTAAGTGTTAGTAATTAACCATTGGATCAAATTACCTAGAGAAATAGTGGATTCTTCAATACTTGAAGTCTTCAAATCAAAACTGGATCTTTCTAAAATATATCTTATGGCTCAATCAGACATAATGGCCTTGATGTTGAGTTTCATGGGTGAGGTCCTTTTGCCTTTAAAATCAGATTTATCTATTAATCAAAATGCAAGAAACAGATTTCTCTATTTGTTAAATGATGAATGTCAAATCTAGTTTTGTTATGAAAAATGCTTATACCAAAATTCAAGAATTCAGTCACTCCCAATAATTTTTTTTCAAATATATTTGTAGAATTATTGCCAGAAATGCATGTAGAACAGATGGGTTGGACCTCACCCTCCTACGTTTGGCTTGTAAGCAAGTTTAATGCTTCATGCATATAACTTATGAAAAATGGCATCTCAGAAACATGGACAAAAGGAGCGTGCAGTCTTGTTTCCTAGTTTTGTGATCTTCCACAGAATTATCAGCAGTTGACAGTTTGCTAAGCTTTTATTCTTCCAGCCTTATATTCAGTTCCACGTGGGGTTTTTTTCTGAAGAAAGAAATTAGTAAAATTATTAATAGTACTTGCTGGTCATGAAAGCTAAATGGAGTCCAATATAATCTTCTGTGTGCAGAGGCTCATAAGTTTCTGGAAGAATCTCATTCTGAGCTGAAGCTTTCCATGCTTGGTTTGAGAAAAATCCCTTCAATATAGTTATCTGATAGCCTGGTCAACCCTAGTACGTTGAAAATGGCAGTTACACCTCAACTGTGTAAATCTGCATGGCTCCTCTGACTTCAATGGGTCTGTGCTGACTTATAGCAATTTGCCTCTAGCATGTAAATAAATAGCTCTTAATGAGGAAGGTTCACTTATTTCTTTTCGGGGAGTAAGAGACTGCATGCCTGCACTAACATAGACCTTGTTGTGACCTGGGATATGATGCTGGGGAGACTACAAGGGCTGTGGCAGCTGGCCTTCTGCCAACATCTTTTTGTGGTGAAGGTGTGATCTACTGGTCTAGGTACATCTTATGCCCAAAATCAGTACAACCTCTTATATGGAACACTTAAAGTTATTTTTAAGAATGTCCACACAAGAGGATTTGGTTGCATGGTGCACAAACTGTGGAGGATATCAGTATGGTGTCTCATACAAATCCTTCAAAACTGGTGCCTTCAAAACAGCTTTCTACCACTAGGTAAAATATTAATGACACTAGTAGCAGTCCCCATTCTAAGTACCTGGTCTTAGTGGTAGCAATCTGATTAAACAAATAAAGAGTAAAAGTATTTCATATTTGCCCTGTTTTCTCAAATTTACTATGTACAATTTTTCAAAATGGAAGAATATTTTGCACAAAACTGCTTTAAAGAAAGTTGGGTTATTTTAAGAAAGCAAGAGGCAAAATTAATGAGCCATTCTCTAATAGCAATAAGCCTTATGACAGTGTGCATTAACAGCCTATTGGTGCATTTCATAGGCGGCAGAACCTGCATGCCAAAACCTTACTGACCTATACCCTGTAGCGGCTTATTGCTATTCATTGCTTTTTGCAGTCACTTCACTTCCCCCCCTTTTAGAGAAGAATAAAAGGGTGTCCTTGGGTGGATTTTACAGTCTTGCTTCGTGTCAATCCTGGTAAAAAAGAAAAGGAGTCCTTGTGGCACCTTAGCTTTCCTGAGCTACAAATACATTTGTTAGTCTCTAAGGTGCCACAAGTCCTCCTTTTCTTTTTGCGGATACAGACTAAGACGGCTGCTACTCTCAATCCTGGTACTTACTACCTACGGGGAGTACTTCCCACTTCCTGCTCAACTTGGCCCCCATACTGCCACCGCTCCCGGTTTCAGCGGGACTACTCAGGATAGTGAAGGTAAGCACGTGTGTGTTCCCAGGCTCAGGACTCAAGTGGGGACGGGTGGGCTTGGGTGCTGTCGGCACAGGATGGAGGGGGGGGCCGAGGGAGGTGGGGACTGCAGCCCCAGGGCAGAGCGCAGGTGAGAAACAGTAGAAGGGGGCTGTGGGGCGTGGTCCCACTCCCCGCCCCGCCCCAGGTTTGGGTCAGGTTGGGTGGGAGCTCGACACCAGGGGATGCGGGGGGGCAGGGCGCTGGGCAGCGCCCCCTGGAGGCGGGGCGCGGGGTGAGGGGGAAGCACGTCCTGGGGCGGCGGTGGCGGCGGCAAGGCAGGGCGCGGGGCGGTGGCTGGATGCAGCCTGGGGGCCGGTTTGCAGGCGGTAACGCCGGGGCTGCTTGAGGGGTGCAGGGCAGCAGCTGCGGTGTCGCTCTGGGGGTGGGGGGGGGCGGAGTCAGCGGGGGAGCTGCCCCCCCACCCAGCGCACGGGGCGGGGTGGGCAGGCCCGGCCCAGCCTGGAGGCGCGTCGCTGGCTTGTGTGGAGCCGCCCCCGCCCGTGCAGCGAGCCGCGGCGGGAGGGAGGCGAGAGCTCGCTCCGCGGTCGCCGGGCGGACACAGCCCGGGCCCCGCCGGCCGCTGAGGGGCCGCCGCCAGCAGGTCAGCGGCGGGCGGGCTGCATTCGCGGGGCATGGCCAGGGGGTGCCGTGCGCGGGGGCAGCGCGGCGCCCAGGGGCGAGGGCACCGGCAGACGGGCCTGCAGCGCGCCGCGGGGCTGCACTGGCCCCTGGGTGCCGGGGGCGGCTTTCTGTGCGCTTCGTGTCGGTGCCTGCGCTTGTTTGTCGCGCTGGCTCTGACGAGGCGCTGGGGCTGAGGGAGCGCTGCGAGAGCCCACCCGCGCCAGGCTGCGCTTTGCCGGCTGCAGCTCCCCGGCTCCAGACAGGGGGACGTTATCGGGCTTGTGCATGACAAGCGGGTGTCAGCTCTGCACCTGTGCAGGAAACTCGTGTCGGGAGGGAAGTTGACCCAGGGCCCTTCTCCAGCTCTTCCCCACGCCAGGAAGGAGTTGCGGCTGAAGAGCGCTGCGTCGCCCTGCTGTGTTGACATGGCCAAGTATTTATCCTTGACCTGGACAAGTATTTATCCTTAAACTTCGGTGTGTTCCCCGCTTCTCTTCTAAGAACTTGGGCCGCCCCAGGGGCGGTGACCATTGAGACTGGAAGTTCTGTTTTAGTTGGGCAGGAGCTTCATGCTCTTCCTCTGAATGTGGAGAACTCTGCTTACTCCCTATTAGATGTGGTTCAGTGGCAATTGATAATTTTGTTAACTCAGCATTTGGCACACTGGGCTTGGTAGAAAGTAGCAGTGAGCAGAACTAATGTTTTTGTTACTTCTGGAAGAGAAGAATCTCTGATTAAGGCCTTGTTTACATTAGCATTTCTCTTCAAATTTCTCACCATTGCAGTTCTGCTGCTGGCAGTAGTGGCTAGGTGGGCTTATGCAGATATTTTTCTAGAAGCCACTGGTGCTTCTTAACTCATCTAGACTTGCTGTAATTAGTAGGGTGACCAGATGTCCTGATTTTATAGGGAAGGTCCTGACATTTGGGGCTTTGTCTTATATAGGTGCCAGTTACCCCCCACCCCCATCCCGATTTTTCACCCTTGCTATCTGGTAACCCTAGTAATTAGGGTTAGACAATACTGTGGTTAAAACATCAGTGGCCTGTCTGCACCAGCTCTTCCTTTACGGCTACCTCTGGTAGAACTGTGCTGGTGGGAGTGTAACAGTAGGAAGTTTGAATAAAAATGCTAGTTTGTAGACACACCCTGAGAAACAGTGGGGAAAACATTTAAGTACCCCTCTCTTTTGCCAATTACATGCAGAAAGCCTGTAGATAGGTTATGTTTATTAGAAGGTGTCTTTTCATTTTTAAAAAAAATTCTTTATTTCAGTCAGTTTCTGTTTTGAGATGTTTTAGACCTGTTCTACTCCTGACCACAAGTACAAATAACATCAATATTAATACATATATATTTGAAACAGCATGACCTACCTTGAGATATACTTTAACTGTAGTGTGAAACCATGCAGGGATAATGTAACTAGTGAGAATGTTTATGGTACTGTAGTTGTTTCAAATTGCTGTATTTTGAAAGTAATACAGAATTATAATTAGGAGCAGAATGTAGTTTTTTTTCTTAAATATATGTGACTCAGTTTGTAACTTTAAAACACTGTTCATAACATGGTGTGTGGATTAAAAATCCTTTTGATCCTCATTACCCACGGTTCTTGCATTAGGTTTTCTGACACTCAATGTGTATTTGAACACTAAAGGGTCATCTAGGGGATACTACCCTTGAAGAATGGTCTCTAGCATTGCTGTGCCAGGCTGGTAGAAAACCTCTTTTACACTTGCTCTTAAAATGTGTTGACACTGGAGAGAAAAAAAAGTTCAGTATCAACACTGCCAGTTTTGGAAACTATAGTGTAGACTGGGCATCCGGCACGGTGGTAAAAATATCTGCACACAGTCTGCAGTTCAGTTCGCACGTGCTGGCACTGGTGCTTGAAAAACTCGGTTTTTCTTAGTATTGTTCAGTGCCAGGTTGGCATGTGTTTGAAGGATAAGAGAGCACCTAGTGGGACAAGAGCCATTTTCTTCCTCTCCGACGATAAGGCTTTTTGAACACGGATTGTCACCTTGTTCCCCTTTGCATGCTGCTCTTCTCCCAGATTACCATGAATTCCTTGGTTTGCTTCTACTATTCCAGGCTACTGGTACACAAGACTATTCTGCGTCAGCCACTGGCACTCACTACTTCTTATGGAGACCCTGATCCTGTATGTAGCTATAGGTGGCCTGACCCCTTGATTTCAGTGCGGCTCTGCAAAGGTGCACGGGTCTGCCTGTGTTGAGCAGCTTGCAGCTTCAGGGCCACAGAATGGTGTGTTTGCTCTGGCAGTCTGCTTGTTTTGCTATATTAGCATTGGTCTCCTTATGAGTGGAATGATTGCCGTCTGCAGACACACAGGTTGTATGTTTGTAGGCCAAGCTGTGCTATTATGTGTGTAGTCTCCTCATAGTTTTTCTTCTGAAGTTTAATTCCTCTCTTCGTCATCACAGCCTTTCCTTCGTGAAGAAAGGGCCTATTTTTAAAGTCAAGCAGACAATTGGAACAATCTGTCACAATCTCAAATCTTTGGAAATAGTATTTTTGGGATTAAGGTGCTAGAAGCTGCAGATGATTTATTACCTTCTTAACGTTTTGCTTTTATAGAATGAAGCCTGTAATGCTGAGATGGTTTAAAAAACAGTCTACTCGTTGGTAAATCTTAGACGAAATTCTTGTCTACAATTACATCCACCCTTTTTCTACAGCTTTTTTTTTACTTCTCTGCTGATTGGATAGTCTCTAGAATGGAGTTGTGTGGGCTGTAAGTAGATAAGAATCCTTATATTACACATAATCTAAACTATTAGCCTTCCTCTTTCTCAGGGTAGAGGCTGAACAGGAGGAGTATAAAGAAATTCCCACTAACAACGTACGGAGGTAAGGAATGTCAGGTAAATAAAGTAGGCTGGGATTTTCAAAGTTGTCTGGAGGACATGGATGCCCAATTCCTATTAATTCCAGGTTGTCCAGGCAGCTTTGGAAAGCTCAGCCATAGTGCATAATTACCATATTACATATACTTACTCTAGGCTGCGAAGTATAAATGACAAGCTGTCCTATAGTGACTCAAGAGCATGAGTACCAACCTCCAGGTACACTGTTTGGAAACAGGGCAAAAACTCCATATTGATTGTGAGATCTATTTAGATTTCACCAACCAGTAATCAAGTGTGAACTCCTCAGGCACTATAACAGCCTTAACATGAAGTCACAAACCGTCCTCTTGGGTATTCTGATCTGTCTTGCCACTCAGGTAAGATTATCTTTGTGATAGATGTCCCTTACACCAAGGATCACAGCAATATTCAGGTTTCTTCTAGTCTCAAAGGATCTGTCACTTACTCCAGGTCAGTCACAAGGACGGAGGGTCCCAGGCTCCAGCATGAGCCCAAACATCTACAACCTCAATAAAACAGCTCCATAGCCTGAGCCCTGTGAGCTCACGTCAGCTGATAGGGGCCAGCTATGGGTGTTTAATTGCAGTATAGAGATTCCCCTGTACTTCCTTTAGGGCTAACCCTGGCTAAGCATTGGGGATCTTTTGATTATGCCTAGTAATCCTTGCCTCCCAGAGTTCAAGCAGCATAACGATACAGTTCCTCCTTGTTAGGGGTTTTTAGCCTCCCTCGGGGTGGATTTGATTTAAATCATGATTTAAATCAATAGTCAGGCAGACTCGATTTAATCATGGATTTCTACATAAAAGTGCATTCTTGTTGGTTGTTATAACCTTAATACGTATTCTTCACAACTCAGAGATAGATGTAGGTTTCATTTTTAGAAGGTACATATTATACATTTTTAAAGTGATTTATTCTGAAAACTTTTCAGATTAGTTTTACAGCTCTATCAGAAAATGAATGGTTGTTTGGTTATTTCATTTACCAAAGGTAATTGAAGCAGATAGTTCAGAATGACTTCATAAATATCTCCAATTCAACAGGTTAATCATTAATATTTGGAGGATTTTCTTGCCATGCTGTATTAGGAGGAGAATGTCACCAGACAGACATTTAAATGGTTTTATTTAACTAAAACAACATTATGTATTCTGGATTTTTTTCTTCAGCAGCAAACATATTATAATTTAACAAAACAAGCATATGCATTTTTGAATTTAGTTAAACTTTCAAGTTTTTTAAAATCAGGTTTGTTTTTGTTAAAATTGTTTTTAACTAAAATAGTTAAATGAAATATTTAAAAAAACAATAAAAATTAAATCGACTGGGTCAGCCAGGTCAACATGAGAAACTTAAAATATTGGCTTCTGCAGCTAACTCAGTTGTCTTCACCTTCATTTTCCTGTTTGTTCATAATATGGAAAAGAAAAACAAGCTTTCCTGCTTTTTCAGGTCCCAAACCATTTCTCAGCTTGGAATGAATTAGTCCAAAGGAAAACAATATTCTTTCTACACCGGCAGAAGAAGGTACTGCTGTTTAAAAGTGAGATTATCACTTCAACAGTCTCTGAATTCAAGAGCTTAAGTGACTTTCACCAGTTCACTTGTGTGACTTTCTTTAAAACATCATCAGCAAATGTATATTTCTTGAATGGTTCATCCTTAGTTCTGAAGTTTATTATAGTTGGCATTATGGAGGGATGATTGCTGGATGTCCATGTCATAGCCAACTCCTCTTCTTCAACAGTTAAGGTTTGACCCTGGTACCGAGTATTGAGAATATTTTCAAGAAAATGACCTGGAGATGGTGCTTGTCCCATTTGTTTTTTTTTTAATGCTTGTAATTTAACTCTGTCATTGCATATTTATCTTTTTTAAGATCTCACTCAGTTCCTTCCAAATTTCAACAACATCAGCAATAAAACAGCTATTTCCCTGCATTTAGGTTGGATATTAGGAAAAACTTTTTCACTAGGAGGGTGGTGAAACACTGGAATGCGTTGCCCAAGGAGGTGGTGGAATCTCTTTCCTTAGAAGTTTTTAAGGTCAAGCTTGACAAAGCCCTGTCTGGGATGATTTAATTGGGGATTGGTCCTGCTTTTGAGCGGGGGGTTGGACTAGATGACCTCCTGAGGTCCCTTCCAACCCTGATATTCTATGATTCTATGATTTTGTTCAAGGCTACAGAAATAAGCTTCAGGGTACTCAGCAAGTGTTCAACATTTCTCTTAAGCCCAATGTTGAGAATTTTGGTTGTGACAGTGCCATCTTTTTTTTCCACTATTTTGTTCACAAACTGTCCACAGATTAGGGCAGTTCTTGATACAGTGCTCAAAACAGTCCACTACTAAGTTCCATCGCACGTCTTGTGGGGGAGTTAGCTTGGTTCCTCCCACTTTTTTCAGAGCAACTGCTGCAAAGTGGTTGTTACGGAAGTATTTTTCAATTTCAATAACATTAGCCTTTATTTCTGGAACACTGAAGTCTTTGGCTAGGAAGTGCATCAAATGAGCACTGCAACTGTATGTTATTAGCTTGGGACTCTCTTCTAAATAATTTCTTCTCGTCTTGGATACGTTTGCAGCATTGTCTGTGACCAAGCTGCGAACTAGACATTTGAATTTTTTTTCACGGTGTGTTATAGCTTTTACTGCTACTTCTTATAAGTATTCTGCTGTGTGTGCATTTCCTGATCTATCAATTGTGTCTGTAAGGAAGACATTCCCTTCTTCTGTTGTCGCACAAATACATACAGCAGGATCATTGTGAACATTGCTTCCCCCATCAAGACTCATGTTAACAATTTCATCTTCTAGACCTTTTGCACACTGCTCAATTTCTCTTTCATACACTTTATCCAGCAGTTTGCCTGCGACATTTGCTCTGTTGTGTGGACTGTATCCTGGTCTTAATGACTGACCCATGTTAATGAAGTGTGGGTTCTCAATCATACAGAAAGGAGAGTTTGTTGCATAAACAAACCGGGCAATTTTTTCATCAATTACCTCTTTTTGTAATCTGCTGGTTCTTATCACAAACTTATTTATGGTGGTTTCTGGATGATGGAGATTTTTTTTTCTCTTTGCTACAGGTGATATACTGTGGCTATGTGACATACATGATGTGACTGAAACACTATCATTGGCAGATAACTCTGAAACTATAGAAGACGATGTGGATAGTCTTCAGAATCCTGTATGTTGAGGATGGAGTCTCCTAAACAAAATAAGTCAATGTAGTTATTTAATTGTTATTACCATACTGCTCATTTAGTATTACTCATTGCATTCACTGGCACTCAGTACTACTTTAAAGGTGAAATTGTAAAAGGAAGATCTGCCTATTTTAGCTATTTATTTTTTTACCACAACTGCATCTAAAATGATAGTACCATAGAGTAACAACTATATTTTTTGCTCAAACATGAGAATTCAAGAATAGTCCATAAGGCAGACAGGCTGTCCATAAGAAGTATGAAATAAAAAAGTTTACCAACCTGAACATCCTGCATGTTCAGACATGTTCCTTTCATCATCTTAAAAGCACCTTCCTCCTGAGAAGAAACACTTCTCATAATGTTGTTTCATTTGGGCAACCAGGCCTTACATTTCTTTGTTGCACTGTTTGCATTTTGCGCGCATGCGTGTCCTACCCAGAGGTAGAGGAACTTGATTAAAATATTTCCAAACTGGGGCTCTTTTATGGCCTGCTGTCATTATAGGTTTTCCCTTCCAGTGAGAGAATGGTATGGTAGATCTCAAATCAATGAAGGCTACACTCAGAAAGACCTCAAGACTTCTGGAATATGCTGTTCAAACAGTTTCACTTTTGTTTCTACTGCCTGTCCCTCCCTTCTCACATTTATCTCCAGACTACTTCTCCTTGTCCAGATCTATTCCACCCCCAACACTCTTCTATTCACTGGACTTTTTGAAACTTTGCACTTTTAGAGAGAAGTAAGGGATTGACTCTGTGTACACAGATTTGCAGAGGGACAATAGGGTTGTCTGTTATTTCTCACCTCTACACATTTATTTATTTATTTGAAAACATTTTTGCTGTTAAGCAAGTTATCGCTGGAGACACAAATCCACAGTTTGAGAACTGCAAAACTAAGCATCTCTGATGGTATCTTCTAGACTGAGCACTGAGTCCCATTGGGTAGATAGAAAGATTAACCTAAATAATCTATACAGAAGCTCCTGGAACCCTATAGGATTGGGTCCCTAATCCATGAACTGTTGGAACTCCTTTATAAAACTTCACTTAAACATTATATGATTATATTGTCTCATACTATAGAATTAGAATTTATAATCCCTATTCCTTGATAGTTTTAATTAACATACATTATAGCTCAAAGCTATCTTTAGATAGGTTTTTTCCTCTCAAAAAGCATTTTATCAAAGTCTGATTTAAATTAAAAAAAATCTGATTTTTTTTTTTAAATAATTGATTTGAATCCACCTGAGCCTCCCTGTCCACTTTCTGCTTAGTGCTGCACACTCAGCTGATGGGAGGAATTCATTTCTAAGACTCACCTTCATTGGAGGGGGAGAGTAAACAACAAAGTGTATTGTCCTCTTTCATGTTCCACTCTAGTACATCTGGTGTCAATGCACCTTCCTCGTGGGGCAGCACATAACACCTTCTGTTGGAGATCAGCATTTCACAATAGTTAATGTCTCTTTCCTGCCTGGTGATTTATAGTTACTGGGGCTCACAATGCAAACGCTCAAATATTACCTTATAATATGGGATACAGATGTTAGAAGTGAGATTAATGCATGCAGCAATTTACAAGCATTCCATAAAGTCTAAGCATTAAATGCATTCTTATAGTTAAAATAGGCATTAGAATTCTACAAAGACACAGATAAGGCAGATTGGTTCCAACTACATATTTGTCAGTGTTCAGTGGAGACACGAGGACCTTGGCATGAGCTGTCATGTGGTCTGCCAGCATCACATGTACAGTGTAATTTTATTTTAGGTTAGACATGTTCCCTCATTAACTGTCACCATGGCCTCATGCATTATTACCTAGATTGTGTATATTAACTATTTCTAAGCCAGACCTCTCTGCTCACTGAGGAAAGTCTGTCAGTGCCTGATAGAATCATAGACTATCAGGGTTGGAAGGGACCTCAAGAGGTCATCTAGTCCAACCCCCTGCTCAAAGCAGGACCAATCCCCAATTTTTGCCCCAGATCCCTAAATGGCCCCCTCAAGGATTGAACTCACAACCCTGGGTTTAGCAGGCCAATGCTCAAACCACTGAACTGTCCCTCCCCCCCAAAAAATTAAAGGTTGGAAGGGACCTCAGGAGGTCATCTAGTCCAACCCCCTGCTCAAAGCAGGACCAATCCCCAGTTTCTGCCCCAGATCCGTAAATGGCCCTCTCAAGGACTGAACTCACAACCCTGCGTTTAGCAGGCCAATGCTCAAACCAAGACTGCTAGAATGTTTCAGAATCAAGAGACCTTGCAGCAGAATTTGGGTCCAAACTAACTTGCCTAGAAAAACTCAGAGCCTTGCACATAGGTACTAAATCTGTGAGGTATCTTATCAGAATAGAACCCCACTTAAATCTTTCTTCAAATGATTTCTATAACCCCATAATAATTTTTAATGCTCTTCTCTGAATTGTTTCCAGTTTGTTGATAGCTTTTTGATGCTGAAGTGCTCAGAAGATGTCAATGCAGTAGTCAATAACAGAGATTAAAATAGCTTAGAAGCTGTTTTTTTTCAACGCTGGTAGACCCCCAACTAGGCCTACTCTCCCCTGCCCCCGATATCTGTTTAAACTGTGCTTGTGCATGTATTTTTTCTAGAGTATATAAAAATAAAGCTTTTGCACTCTTCTTGTTAGCTACTTTTACAATACCTTTTTCACAAGAAACACCTAAGCATCACATACATGTGATCAAGATAGAGCTGTGAACTTTGTCTCTCCCAACTTTAGCACCTTTTTGTTTGCTATGGTTCTTTGGTGTATGTGCACATGTAATCCTTCATCTTTCCTTATTGGAGAAAAGCTTTTGCAAAATGGTGAGTCTTGTAGTGTACTCTGAAAACTGTCATGCTTAGGCTCTGCATTATTCACTTCAGTAGATTTTCCATGGTTGAGTGTTCCTGACCCAGCATGTCTTATTTGTGTCCTTCAGGAGCTTTACCTGTGGCAGCAGGATTGTCCCAGAGGAGTAGAGCTCAGTAGATAGGTGGTTTCTCGTGTAAACTGGTCCCAGCACATTGACTGTTGTAAACATTAAGACAGGCTGGTACTAGAAGTGATTTAGGAGTTGGTTAAGAGTGCACAGCATCAGTGTGATATGTTCTTTAGAGCTTTTCAGCTAAGGAGGTGGGTGGTTGCATTCTAAACAAGTTAGATTTCCTGTGTAGCCTTCACTTTCATCCCAATACATTGGGTTACAATAGTTAGTGTCTTGATTAGCTTCTTGGTGTTGCTCTTCTCACTAGCAACACTTAATATTTGTTTTCAAGTTGAGCTAACAACTCTTTCTTGAGAGGTTTTCTCTGGTAAGCACTCTAATAACCTTGTGACTTTTCTGCTGGGATGATATCAAGGTTAGTATTTTCAGAATGTTCTTGTCAATGGCGTCTGTTGCATCTCATCGTTACTGTTCTGTATCAGTATCTTCTTGTATCACACTCATCACCATAGTATCTGAATGCCTTCCACTAGTGCATTAAACAACATGACTAACATCTGCCACATGTTTCTTCTCTCCTCCTTTTCCTAGGGGAGAAGTGTGTGCAGGGGAGTGTCTTGTTTTGGTAGGTATTTAAGAAAATAATAAAAACATGTATATGTTGCTGTGTATTTATATTAGAGAAGGCAAGGTCAAGAAAATGCACCTTGCACTTGGAGCAGAAGCTGGTGCGGTTTGTGATGGTCCTTAATTCCTGGGGTAGTCCTAGGCAGGGGGCTGTAATGAGGTAATGGTCTGTCAGTGTCCAAGGGAGGGGGTGGGTTTTAGTGTTCTCAGTATTGACATCTACACTGAAGATATGGTCCAGGGTATGACCTGTTAAAGTCCCTGTATCTTATAACTATCAAAGTGCTTTTTTCTCAGAGGTAGCTATCAGGTTGCTAGAAGGGGATAGCCAAATTAGTGGCCCCAGCCATTGATGAGGAATTCTGTTTAATTAAATTTATTTTTAGGGAGAGTGGAAGAAGCAGAAAATATAGAGGAGGTAGAGCATATGATGTAGGGAAGAAAAGGGTTAGGAAATAGAGCCCATCCATTTGGAGAACTCCGTTGATGGGGGTAAATCTCTCTTTTGTAATCCTAACATGGAATGAATGAATGAAGTATTGTATGAACTTTGACTCTAAGATATAATTTTTCATAATATACATTTGGTAGTGTGGAATTAAATTTTAGGCCACATCTACACTGCCACTTATGAAAAAAAACACCTCCCTCAGCGACATAAGTTTCACTGGCATGAGTGATAGTGTGCACAGTGCTATGTCAGCGGGACATAGCTACTGCCGCTTGTTGGGGGGTGGTTTAGTTATGTCGATGGGAGATCTCTTTCCTGTTGGCATAGAGACCTTACAGCGGGACCCCTGCATTGGTACAGTTATCTCACTGTAAGGTCTCTAGTATAGACATAGCCTTAGTGTATACTATGTATATTGTCACCACAGATTAGACTCTGGGGTGTAGCTGTCTCAGGTCTGCTGCTTGTACTGCTGACATATTATATACTTCCTTGGTCTTTGTAGCTTTTACTTTACTACTTTGGTGCAAAACGTTCCTGTTATTTATGCAGAGTCATCTCTTATCTATTGGTAGGCGTGTGCTTATGACAGTGTAGAATACCAGTGTTGCAAACCCAGCCAGCATGGGTATAAATAGCAGCATAGATGGTGAGGCGCTGCTTAGCTTAATAGTGCCCTAAATGCCAGAACCCTACTCTGCTCTCTACATACCCAGGCAGTTCTGCTCAGGTCTACACTGCTATTTTTAGCAATGTCCTGCTGCTGAAGCCCTTCCCTGCTGCAGTGAAAGGCTCTGGTGGGGGGAGCTGCCAGAGCCTTTCCTCACTGCCTCCCTCCCATCAAAGCCTTTCATTGCCACATGTAGCTACACACTACAATAAGGGGGGATGCAGCCTGCCTTTTGCTAAGGTGTGTTACTAACGTACCCAACATGCCACTGCAA